AGCTTCCAGAGAATGGGGAGTAGGCCAGGCTGGGTCCAACCTGCAGCCCCTCCCCAACCAAGAGGGGAGGCTGCTGTGGTCCGAGGCTGTAGAGGGAGCCTCTACAGCCAAGCCGAGGAAGATCCTGGGCCCTCCGCCGCCACAGACGGCCATGCAGTGTGGTAACGACACACAGACGCTTGTAGGGGACTTTCCATTTCCCAAAGCATCTCACTCCTTTTCCCCCAGGGGGCCCCCATCCCCATCCCTGTGATGCAGGTAAGAAAGGCCACCGTGGGGGGGGGGGGGGCGTTAACTCCCCGGAGTCACACAGGCAGTGGCGGAACTGGGCTCAGGACCCAGCCGAAGGAGGAGTCTTGCCGAAGGATCGGTCCCAAATCCTGCCACTGCAGCTGCGGCTCTCGTCAGCGCTGTGGCCAGCTTCCTCCCTGGCCCAGCCAGAGCTTTACCTGGGGCCTCTGGGCACTCTCCCAAGCTGGGCATCCGACGGGGTTGTGAAGGGGCAGGAAGGCAGGACCCTGTCTCCTGGCTCCTCTTGAACTTTGAGGAGGTGGGGGCAGCCCCCGGTGACTGCGGGCCACCCCTCTTTTCCCTTCAGAACCCTCCCTGAAAGGTTAATTACCAAATCATCCCATCAAAGGAAATTGCACTTTGTGCCTTAAAGACCAAACTGAGCTCCAGCAATGTAGTTATTTATGGTCTCTAATAAGCATTTTCTGGGTGTGATTAACCTTTACGCCAAAGTCACACTGGGATTCAGGATGGCAGCTTCAATGCCAGCCATGCTCTGCGCTGGCCTGGGGGTGGGGCGCGGGCCTCAGCCGGAAGGGGAGGCTGGCAGACCGTGGCCCTCCCGCCACACCCTCTGGGCGGGCTCCTGCCCCCTCCTCTGCCCAACCCGTCTTCCCCTGCGCTGTCCTGACCTGGGCCATCCCCGTCCTCCACCTTTCATCCACTTAATAGACAGGCACAGACTGTCCGTTTACTGGATCCTAGTCCTCACTCAACAGCTAAAAACAGTTTGGTGAACTTGAGCACCTCAACTGTAAGACCCCTGTAAAACAGAGAGCAGGACACCTGGCCCATCTGCTTTCGGCAATGCAGGGCCCCTTGCTGCAGGTTTATTCGGGGCCTTGGGGCTGGCGGGCTGGCGTAAAGCAGCCAGGCATTACCTTGTGAGTGAGCCTAGCGCGGCACCGGCTTCAGATGCTCAGGGCTATTGTTGGAAAATGGTAAACCTTACGAAGTTCTGAAGACTTGGTGTGTCGAAAATTATTCCGAAAGGAGAAAAAGTGGCTAGGGCTGATGTTGAAGCAGAGGAGCGGATGGAGGAATCCAAAAAAGTGGCAGTTCCCTGGTCAAAACCACTTCTGGTTGGCTTTCAGACAGGATGACCTGTCCGTTTTGGGGAGGCGCAGGTGATGTCACTCCGTTTGCCATAGGCTCTGGCCATATTTAGGGGGTGTTAGACCTCCCTGAGAAGTGGAGGATGCTGAACACCCTCCCCAGGAAAATGGTGGTTGTCATTTACTTACAGGGTTTTGTGCCCTGTGTGCTTGCAGACCCCAGGTTGAGAACCCTCAGCTTCAAAAGGAAACAAACCACATCCTTGAAACTTTGGGGCCTGTGCCTACAATGAGGCAATTGCCTGTTGATGGAGATGGAGAACTGTGGTGAATGTTGAAAAGGAGATCAACGTATGGTGGGAGGAAATGCTCAGGGAAACTCCAGATTTTTCGTGGGAAGGTGATTCAGGAATAAGCCAGAAGCCTTTACAAACTCTTCCACAGAGCAAGAGGTGGCGCAGATGCAGATTCTGTGCAGGGCTGACCTTTCTTGAGCGGAAGGGTTGGTTCGGGAATATTAAGAAGCCTTTTTCTTTACACAATGCAAAGCCAGCCCTCTCTCCGTAGAAAATGACTTTGTGAACCATCATACCAAGAAGGAGACATAAGGGTCAGGATCGTAGGCAGCCAGCCAGCAGCAGGCTAGTCCTTCGCCCCGTGGCGTTTGGTTTGGTTTGGTTTGGTTTGGTTTGGTTTGGTTTGGTGTCATGATGAAGCTGGATTGCTCTGCTCCTCAATGAACCCCAGGACATTAAGATGCGAGACTGAGACATCGTGGCTAGTATATTTGCCATCTCATTGGAACCCTAGGGTGTAAGTGCTTTGTATTGAGGCTGTTTCATGCACCTGGGACTAGTCCAGGGTCTCCATTTGCTAGCGCCCGCCATGAGCACCAGGGTCCAGAAGGGATGTGAGCACATGGACAGTGTGACTGAGTTGCTCTGCTTTGGAGGGTTGGGGAAGGTGCTGCCAAGGGGAGGGGCTGTGGAACTGGCTTTTGAGGACCACAGAGTTCACCAGGTGAAGGGTGGGCCAGGGTGAACAGGAGCAAAGGACCGCAAGAGCACAGGTGTGTGGACTCCGGCAGGATCTGGGTACTGACAAGGAGTTCAGTGGGAGTAGAATGTGGTATGGCTTCAAAGTGGATCTAAAGACTGGCTGAAGCACAAGGCGCAACTTCAGGGTCAAAAGGGTAATGGTGGGGTGTCGGGCAGCAGAACCGGTATTTTGGAAAAGGGTGTTTCCAGGTTCTTTAATTTGCCAGTGGGGGAGCCGGCTCTTGGAACCCCACTTTCCTTCTCTGTGTGCGCACACGCATGCATGTGTTGGGAGGTGTCAGAGGCAGAGTGGGGCGACAAGCTTGGGGCAGGGAGTCCTAGTCGCTTCTGGAGGAAACCCTTGGGGGCGGGGCGGGGCTGGGTCCCTGCTGACTGCTGAGCCATGCCCTGCAGCTTAGTCCTTGAGGACTCCGCTCTCTGCTTTGCGAGCAACAGCCACTGGCTGGCCTGGTATCTGCCTTTTCTTTGTGCTTCTGCGTTTTCATTTGGAAAAGTGAGGATAAAGATATTTTGCAGTCTCTCTGGAGACTGCAAAGTTTAATTACTGGTTAATAAAGTATTGGAAGTTCCTTCGGGCCAGAGAGTTGAATGGGTTTGCTCTAATATCTCCCAGGTCCCTGGAGTGAGCTAGCTAACACCGGCACCGTTTGCTGAGCATCCGGAGTCCTGGGCACAGGACGGGGTGCAGGGCTGGGGGTGTACATGGCAGCTTGACCCAGTAAGCACAAAGACACTCCTGTGATGTGACCGAAGGAGTGTGCCCGTGAGTGAATAGCCAACACGCCCACTAAGGGCTCAGGCAGGGCACGGACAGGACAATGTATGTGAGTTATTAGGGTCAAGGAGGGCTTCCTGAAGGAGGTGGTGGCAGGACAGGCTCTGACGGAGTATGAGGAACACTCAGCTCCACCACAGAATGCAGGGTAGGGGAGAGGGGAGCAGAGCCTGCCTTTGTCCTCGGACAGGCGTGGGAAGGCACAGGTACCAGGAAAGTGGGTGGCCCTGGGGGTGGAGGGACAGGATAGGAGAGGACATTTGAGACAGGTGAGCATGGAAAATTCACCTCTGGAAAAAGGCAAGTCAGTTTGCTTCTAAGGACTGGGAGACGGTCCTGAGGTCCAGGAGGGTGAGTGGGAAGGAGTCCAGGGGAAGGGAGGGTGTGTAGCCTTAGAGAAGGTGGGTGGGGGACGGTAGAGCCCAGCTGTGAGCAGGGCTAAGGCCAGGGGGGGGGCCAACAAGGCCAAATTTAAGGAGGTGCCCAAAATCTCAGTAATCATGGTAAATAATATTTTGATATCATTCTGATTTTTCCTTTTAACCCAAGCTCCAATATGGCCCAGCAATGTCACTGATCCTGTCTTAAAAAAAAAAAAGTTTTAAATATTTTGTTCATCATGGATTTTTTGCATTAGTTTAGAGTTTTTAAAATGTTGCATGAAAGTATTACTCCCCTGGAGTGCTGAGTGTTCTGGCGTCTCCCGACTTCATCCTGGCCCTGCGAGCGAGGGCTGTGCACGGCCACCAGGAGCTGCTGGCCGCCCCCCTGACTGGTCTAAACTAGCCATTCGCTCGGTGGGACTCCAACAGGCTCCTCCCTCTCCTCTCTGTCGTTTTCCCACTGTGAAAAATCACAGGGCCTGGCACCGTGCCAGTCTTCAATAAAAGCCGGAGGGGAAACTGAGGCACAGAGAGGTCAAGTAAGCTGTCTGTGGCAACACAGTGAAACTGGGGCTGGAGGCCAGGTCCCTTTTGACTCTAAATCCATAGGAAAGGTGGTGACCTCAAGGGAGGGTACACAATGATTGTGTGGGGGTGTTCACTGAAGAAGAGGCAGCCCTCGAGTGTGGGCCCACGCCACTCTCCTCTCGGTGGGCCGCAATTCTGGAATCAGAGGGCCCCGGGGGGATGGCGGGGTAAAGCTTCTCCCTGGCATCGGGCGCCATCTTTCCTGGCACATTTATTCCTTCACCTCTCTGGGCCCTAGTTTTCTCATCTGCAGAAAGGAACAGCCACACCAGCCCCAGGGAGAATGAAGTGTCATCGCAGATGTAAAAAGGCTTGATAAATGGGGAGGCACGACTTGCAGGGACTGGTAATGAGCTGGGCAGGGCCAAGGGCTGGGAAGCGTCTCCTCTAGTTGAGCTAGAGGCCAGAGGAGCCTGCAGCTCAGGAAGGAAGGTGGGAGGGAGGGACGTGCACTGACGAGAATCTCTGCGTCCCCAGGACTCACGGTGTTGGGCCACAGCCAGGCCAAGCTCGGGGTCCGTGTGGATGGAGGCCACTTCTCTAGGCAGATTGTTTCTTTGGGGGCCTTCCTTCTCACTGGGGGCCCCTGGGCCTCAGGGAGAAAATTCACCTGTCCTGGGGACCTGGCCCCTGCTCTTACCAGCTTCCTTTCCAGGCCCCTCCAAGAACAAGGCAGCTCTAGGCCTTCTAGGCAGAGAGGACACGGAGCGGGGTGGGGGAATGGAGCCTGGCAGTGGGGATGAGTGTCTGAGAAAAGACATGGATGAGGGGGAAGAGAGGGGAGGCAGGAGCTGCAGGCCACACTGCTCACGGCAACCTAACCAGGTCCCTCACCACCCTGTGCCCACAGGCCCTTCTCTTCCTGGGGCTGAACCCCATCTCCGCCGCCCTCCAGGACCAGCAGTGTGAGAGCCTGTCCCTGGCCAGCAACATCTCCGGTGAGTACCCGGACTCCGCTCCTGCAGTCCAGGTCACCACAGCCCCGCCACCTGCCCCCACCAAGGCCTCCCACGCGCTCACACGGAGCCACGCCCTAAGGCAGGAACGGCAGAGAGATTCCCTCTCTGGGGTCCAAGCAATTCTTCTCTCCACGAAGGGAATGCTGTGTTGAGGAGGATCCTGACATTGTGGTGGGAAGGAGAGCTGTCAATAGGTGACAGCGTCTGCGACGGACACAGCAGGAGCATGGGGCAAGTGTGCTCAGTAGTTCTCTTCCCCGCTTTGGGGTGGGCAGCAGGGGAAGTCACCCCAGCCCTTGCTGCTGTGAGGATCAACTTAGGCACCGGGGAGGAGAAAGATGGTGGCTTTGTGCCACAGCATAACAGTGCAGGGGGCTAACTCTGTGCCAGGCGCTGTTGGAGGTGCCTGAGATGTAGTAACCCAATTTTCACCTTTTGAGGCAGATGTCGTAACCCTCATTTTACACACAGGGAAACGGAGCACAGAGAAAAACGAGTAAGTGTTGGAGCCAAGGTTTGAGCCCAGGTAGCCTGGCTTCCAGATACATCTTCAACACCATGCTCCACGCCGCCCCAGTGAAAACATTGCATAACTGCAAATATGACTAATGCATGTATAACTCCTTTTCTTTTCTTTCTTTCTTTTTTTTTTTTTTTTACAAAGGGCCTTTGTATGATGGTCTTATTTCATGTTGACAAGAGTTTAAGACCCCTTTGTACAGATGAGGAAACTGAGGCACAGGAGAGTTACACAGGAAGGTTAGGTCTTCAGCTTTGCCTTCTCAAGGCCCTGTCTTTTCTAAATCTGGGTGTGACCGCGGAGCACTCACCCTGGCCCCTTTAATGGGTCCCAGGGATGCTGCTGCTGGCCCCCTGCACCTGAGGGTCTGAGGGAGACTCAGTCTTTGGTGATTTATTTTTCTCTTCAGGTTTCTCTTCGGTTCAATCTAACTCATTAATTGAGTACCTACTGTGTGCCAGGCCCTATGCAAAGCACTTGGGGAGCAAAGATGGGCTCACTGTCTGATTCAGGAGACAAGCCCACAGACAGACGTATTGTGAGGCAGAGCGCAAAGCACACATTGTGGGGGAAGCAGGCCCAGTGTGCTAGCAGGGAGGCCAGGCCTTAGCTTCTGAAGCTGGGCCTGTGGGGAGAGGAGCCTTCCCCCACTTGGAGCAGCTGCCCTGCCTGCTGTCTTCGCTAGGGAGGGCCTGCGGCGGGGTGGGAATGAGCGCTGGGCTTGGAGTAGGCCAATTGCGTTCCCATGCTCACAGTGACGCTCAGTCTCATCCTGGCTGGAGGTGGAGACACAGGTTGCCCCAGGGATGAGCAGGCCCCTGAGCCTCTCTTTGTTCAGTTGTAAATTTAGGAGGGATGACACTTACCTCAAGAATCCATTATGATTAAACGGGCTAAGTTTCATGGTAATATTCCACAAACTGTAGAGTCCCATGCCCCTGCTGAGTATTATTTATTATTGTTGGTAACACCTGCTGGCTGTTAAAAGTGTTTACCATACAGCTGGGCTGAGGGGAAGGCTTTTGCCATGAATTGCTCATTACAATGCAGGTGGCAAGGAAGTTAGACCAGGAGTGGTATAAATCCAGGAAGGCTTTCTGAAGGAGATTTCAAGGTGAGTCTCTGAGAGACTCTGAGTGTGAACTGGCAGAGAAGGCCCCATGCTCTGAGACAAAGCCAGAGTTGACTAAGGACTAGCAGGCAGGTTTGATATAAGAACAGGGGAGGGGTTAAGAAGAAGAACAGTAAGTCTGGAGAGGTACTGGGAGCCTGGAACATCTCTGGCTGCAAAGTTGGCTAAGCTGGTCACGGAAAGTTCTTGAGCAAGAGTCTGGAGCACTAGCAGAGACAGACTGGGAGGGAGGACACCTGCTCAGAGGCTGGGCCTGAGATGAAAGACCCTGCCTGCAGCCCCGCATGCACTGGGGCCAGGTCAGGTTACATTAATTTGCTTGCTGTGCTCAGGAAGTGACATTCCTGAGCCCTTGCAGGTCTCACCTGTCCTTGGAGGCAACAGGCCATGATGAATGTCACTCATTCCCCGATTATTTGTACTCTGTGCCACTACCCCTAGCTTGGCCCAGCCTGTCTGGCTTCATGGCACACAATCCATCACCCTCTACAATGGCCTCTGATAATGCAGTATTTGTCTTCCAACGCCAATACCTACCCAGACCAATGGGCACTGGTAGACAGATGGTGAAAGTGGGGTGGAGAGACTGGGACAGATGGACGAGCGTCTGGCCGGGGCAGCTGGCACTGAGCCAGGGCCTTTGGGGGGTTTCTCACATGCCAAGAACAGGGAAAGGGTGGGTCCCCAGGGCCATCATGTGGCAGGTCACGGACATGGCAACTCATAGTATCATGTCATGAATAGGACAACATTAGAAAGTATAGAATTACTGACGAATGACATTAGAGACAAAAGGAATCACATTGTTGACAAGAACCCACGGTCATCAGTTCCCATCCCCTGTCTTAAGGTCATGAATGATAACAATAATTAATGATAGCTAATCTTTATTTTGTGCCCACTTAGTGTAGTCACCATTCTAAGTGCTCTAATCTCATTCAGTCATCACAACAGTATAGTCAGAAAGTATTTTTATCCCCGTTTTACAGAAGAGGAACCTAAGTCTCAGAGAGGTTGAGTAACTTACCCAAGCACATACAGTTACTAAGCAGTGACTCTAAGATTTGAAGCAAGTGGGCTTGATTCTAGACTTTCCCACCACCATGTCATGTGGCTGCCCAGAGAGCTGTGGTGCCCAAGGCCCAGCGTGGTCAATCATCCTAGGCTGCAGAGTCGCCCCGGCAACTTCCCATACCCACATTGGGTTTGCATATGGCCCCTAATTTTCCTCCAGACCTACTGTGTGCCTGGCACTGTGCTAGGTATCGGAAATACAAATATGAAGAGCCCCAGACCCACAGGACAGGAGACCCACCCATCTGTCCTGATGAAACACACACCCTACAAAGCCATCTTTCTTCTTTGCCCAAGCAAAGAGGAGGCGATAGAACCCCAAGGTGGTGGAGCAAAGAGCAGGAATCTCTGCCTGCCCTGTGCCGCCCTCTCCAGGCCAGGTGACGCAGGCAGAGCCCCTGCCCCTTCATCCCAGCAGCACCTTCCTCTGAATGGGCAAGCGTGTTGTGTTTCAGAAGCTGCCCGTGGGCCACCTGGCTGCTCCCCTTCTGGACATTCTTGGCTGTGTTCCTCTCCTGGGCTTAAACCAAACAGGGGGATGGGCTTCCCAGCCACCGGGCTGCTGCCAAGCGCCCACCTTCTCTGGTTTATTCAGGAACCCCTGATGAGAGACCCGACGTAACTGGGGCAGGAGCCAGGCTCCAGTTTCCCTCAGAAGGATCTGCTGAGCACATGTGGACCCTGAGCCGGATGGGAAGGGAACTGTGTTTACCTACTTGGGGGAAGAAGCCAGTGTCCAATCGTGTACAAGCATTAAATAGGCCACCTTCAAAGAGTTCTTATCTGTTCATTAAAACAGCACCCCCTCCGTGATCCTGACTCAGCAAGGGTTATTTTCAGAGGCAGGTGGGAGCCGTCAATGCTGCTACTCCTCTCCCCTCCTTTTGCAAGTGTTTGGGGTGGCCTGACCACCCTGCTGCCTTGAGCGACAAGGGTATGGGTCCCTGTGCTCTTTGCCCAGGAAGATGCGGAACTAGTGTTATGTTAGTCCACTTGACTCCAGCCGGTCCAAGAGAGACCCTGAAGGCATCTAGCTGTCCCATGAATGAGGGGATGAGCCAAAGTGAGAGCAATGTCGCTCGCCAAGCACACACCTGCCTCAGGGCCTTTGTACTCGCCGTTCCCTCTGTCTAGAACACTTCCCCCAGGTATGCAACATGACTCCCTCCCTCACTTCCTTTAGATTTCTCCTTAAGTGTGAGCACATTAGGCACCACCAGTTAAAATAGCACTCTTGTCAGCCTTTATATCCTCATCCTGCTTATTTTTTTTCTCCATGTCTGTTTACTGCCCTCCATCTCACTGAGGGCAGGGCGTTTGTTTGATTTATTACTGTATCCCAAGCACGTAGAAAATTGCTTAGGTGGTCAGTAAAAACTTCCGAATAAAGAGCAGTCAATTGACGGGGGAGGGGAGCGGGGACAGCAGGAACAAGTGGAACAAGAAGCTGTGGGGAGGAGTTAGCGCCTAACAAGGGCTAGTAAATTGGTTTGGCTACTTGCAAGGCTGGCTTACTCTAATCCAAACTGCAACTCACCCCAAAATCTATGATATCCGGGTGGAGAAATACCCGCCAATAGTGCAGGAGAGGTTGGACACTGTGATAGTGGGACCTGGAAGGGACATTGATGCAAGAATCAGTCTGACAGTCCTGACTTCAAGGTCCTTATAGCCCCAAGGTGATGACATGAAGACTTAGCTTCCTTCTTCCTTCCCTTTCCAGCTGTGAGATCCACTCCCTCCCCATCCCTGGAACCTATGAATTTTTTTTTTTTTTTTTTTGGTATCTTTCTCCTGGTTTTCTGTCTGCTCCTCCCTGCTTTAATCTCAGGCTTTGGTCTCCTTTATTTCCTCCCTCTCCTCCTCTCTCCTCGCCCACTTGCCTTCCCCGCCCCTTCTCTTGTCCTCAAAGAGCGGTTGAGTGGATTGAATTGAGTGGCATGAATTCCATAATGCAAAGCGCCCTTCACACCGCCGGGTATAGAGTAGTGTTCAACAGATGTTGGTCTCCCTCCGCCCCATCCCCCTAGTCCAACACACTCTTCCAGAGGCCCAGTCTCCGGTATCCCAGGGCCCGGCGCCCGCACTGGTGGCTGCAGGCCTGTGCGGGAGCTGCCAACGCCGCGAAGGAGCACGTGGCAGGAGGCGCACAGCCTATGTGTCAGTCCGGCCGAGAGTACCAATGGGCAGCACCCACTTGTCCAAAACATCGCCTCTGAGGCCCGGCCCTGCTGCCTCTTCCCTTCCCTATACCTGAGTCCCCGCCCCTTTTCCTTCACCCTGCCTTTACTCTTCTTTTCCCTCCTTGTCTCTCCCTGCTATACGGGGCTCCCTAAAGCTGCACCACATAGTAGGACCCCTACTGAATTTTTTGGCCTGTATTTTCGAATCTGAGCCCGGCCGTTGCTCCTGATTCGTCCTTGTACCTCTGGCCAAGCTCTGTGTGGCTTCACCCCTCCCTCGGCCCCGTCCACCTAGTGCCCGCCCCTGCCTCCTGCCACTTGGCCTGTTACTCCGCAGGTAGCAGGTATACTTAAGTGTCCAGACCCCTTTCATTTGGCTTCTTGTCTTCAATCATGTAGCCTCTTCCTCCCTTTCTTCCCATCTCTCCCACAGACTTTCATTCCCTCCAGAATTTTCTGGGCTCTTAATGTAAAGGTCACCTCCAAGGAATGTTTCGACGCACCTGGGTGGGGGAGGGGACAGGGGGGAGGTAGGGCAGGAGGGAGAGAAGCAGAGCGACATGGAGGAACCCAGGGTGCAGAGACGGGTGCAACCAAATACAGTGAGGGCCTGTTGCCCAGGCTGGGACCAGCTGTGGTGCAAGCGGGAAGAGCCCTGGGCAGGCATCAAACACCAGCGTTCAATACCCACTTCTGCCTCTTAGTGTCTCTGTAACTTTGAATGGCAATTTGACTGCTCGGGCCTCAGTTTCCTTCTCTGTAAAACAGAGAGAATTAGCACCCAATGTTGACAGGTGATGCTACGGACTCCTAATCCATACAGTTAGGAGCAAATATCCACAGCCCTGCTCATTCCCATCTCCAAACCCAGACCAGCTGTGGGCAGTGTTAGGGCTCAGGGCATTGGCTGGCGCCTGGTTCTCGAGGCCAAGAGACCCATCTGCTCAGTGGCCGGTCCCTGCGTTGGGTTCGGACTGGGCCTGGCTGTGGCTGGTGCCCAGTCCTACCCTGCCCTTTGTTCTTTGTGGAAGGGGCTCCGGTGAACTGTCCAAGGCAGGAAAGAGAGGGAAATGGAAGAAAGAGAGGGCCAATGCTATCCTGACTGAGAGGGTGTGTTAGGCAAGTTCCAGGTGCTGCCACACATGACACCCCATTTAATATTCCCAGTTCCCAGCTCAGGAGATACTGTGAATGAGTGAGCAAATAAATGGACAACCTACTGAGGAAGGTACACTGGTGTCATTAAATCAGATGGTATATGAGACTGCCTGGCATGTGCCCATCACAGTCAGCCCTCAATAAATGTTCCCCTCCCTTTATTGGAACAAAATGTGGTGTAATAGAAAGAGCACTGGATTTAGAGTCAAAGACACATGGCTCTGTGTCTTGGTTCTCTCACGCATTGACACATGACTTTGGGCAAGTCACTTACTTCCATGGGCCTCAGTTTTCTCATCTGTAAAAAGGGAACATTGCAGGGTAGATGAGGATCAAACAAAATATATGAAGAAAAGCTTTAAAAAAAGCACAACATGGTTCATAATACTATCCTTCCCTTCCCATGGCCATATGCCTCCAGCTACCCCCTCCTCTGAGCTCAGTGCTATCAGCATGACCCATGAGGGATTAAAATCTTAACCTGCTTTCCTCACTCCCCTAACCCCACCCCCACTTGTGAAGCAATTCACGAATGCTGTCGTGTGGCACAGGGCCAGGGCCCGGCCCACCCCAGCCGCCTGGCCCACCGTCTCCTCGAGCCATTAAGCCCCAGTCCAGATTTCTTTCTCTTTCAATTAAATGACTTGGTGTCAAGGCCTCTGCCCCTTGAGCCCTGATTTGCAGGAGCATCCTAGAAATAGCTTTGATTAGAAAGGAAAACCAGCATTTGGTACAAGTGCTGCTCAGCGCTGCCCTTCATCCAGCAGGAAAAGGCCGCCAATCTAACCTAGTGCTGTTTCCTGAGAGACTGGGGACAAGCTAAGCTGGGGAGGGGATGGCAGGTGGACCCCAGCCAGGGCTTGGCAGCTGCTGATGCCCAGACCTAAAGAGGCTGCCCCCGCATTGGTTCACGGCTGTCCCTGGCTTGTCTGCACATTCTTGTGCCATCCCAGGTTATTAACTCCCTTCCATCGTGCTGAGCACACTGGGTCTTGATAGGACCACTGTGCCAGCCTTATGCAGAAAAGGGGCATCAAAAGGCAGAGAAAGAAGGGAAAGTTTCAGAAGGGGTGCGAGGACTCTCCTTGGCCCAGCACCCACCCACTAAAAACTGAAAGCTCCCCGCTCTTCCAGAAGTATTACTGTGGCTTCAACTCTGCCCCAACACACACACACACACTCCACTCCAAAAGAAGCTCTTTAATTAAGGGCCAATATTTGGAAGGGGAATTAACATTCACTTTCTAATTCAGCTGTTTACACCCTTTTTTTACGTCACAGCCCCTTTGAGAATCTAATGAAAGACAAGGTCCCTTTCCCAAATAAAATGCATGTATAGACCAAATTTTTTCAAAGAAACTCTTTTATCAGACATATTTCTACGTTTGGCGTGGAATGCTCACTATAACAATTGATATAGTTACATGCCATATACAGAGGGCTAGTGTTAGTGGTAGGAAGTTTTTTAATAGTAAGTATATTAGTTGATCTGTAATATCAGGGTCTCTATCAACACTTAAAGCTTCCATGAAGCTTTTTAAGAATTAAGAATTTCATTAAGAATTTCTGATCAGATCCAATCACTTTATTTTATTATAAAGACACTGAGGCCCAAAGAGGGCAAGCGACTTGCCTATAGTCACACAGCCAGTAGGTAACACAGCCAGGGTTCCAGACTCATGGTTCAGCGTCCTCTCAACTCCCCTGGACGGTGTCTCCCTCCATTTTCTCCCCATGGTCCCCTTCTCAGTCCTCTCCTGGGGCACAGCACAGACAGTGTATGTCCGGTAAATGTGGTCATCAGGCCAGCCCGAAGGCGGGCTGGCTTCACTTAGCTGGTTCCTCCCTGCAGGGCTGGAGCAGATGTGCTTTGGTTCCAAAGACGTGCGAGCAGGGCTGGGGTAGGGGCTGGCTGGGTCTGTTCCACGCTGTGAAGTCAGAGAGCTCCAGTCTGCACCAAGTGCTCTGCTGAAAGAAGTGTCCTCAGGCTACAGAGCAGGGGACCTGAAGCATGTCCCACTTCCTCTAAATACCAGCCAGGACCTCAGCTTTTAACACCACCTCCTACCATCTCTGTTCTGCCTCTGCTCTGGAGCCCAGTCTGGACCCCTAGTGCCCTAGCATAGAACTCAGGTTCCTTCCCCTGGCATCTCCCCCTGCATAGGATGAGCTATCTCTGCACTAGGGTCATCACTCCGGTCTTGTCTGCAGCGGGTGTGTGTGGGCCTTTGGGGAGGTGAGTAAGACACAGGACTGGGCGTCTTGCTCTGCCTTACCAGCTGTCTCTGCTCGCAGGACTTCATTGCAATGCATCCGTGGACCTCATTGGCACCTGTTGGCCCCAAAGCCCCGCAGGGCAGCTGGTGGTTCGACCCTGCCCTGCCTTTTTCTACGGTGTCCGCTACAACACCACAAGTAAGGGGGTGTGTGGAGGGCGGACTTGTTGGAGGTGGGTTAAATAATAATAACAATTACAGTAATAACAATGCTTCTTGTGTGTGGATATAGTCACAAAGGTCAGCTCTGCTCTGCTGGGCACTGAGTGTTCCTATTGCTGATTGTCACAGTGCTCCTGGAAGACTCTCTCTCTCTCTCTCTCTCTCTGTGTGTGTGTGTGTGTGTGTGTGTTTGTGTGTGTGTATAGTGCTCATTATATAAATAAAGCTTCTGGGGCTAAAGGAGGTTAGGGATCTCGCCAAAGGTCACCAGGTGGTAAGAGGTGAAGCTGGACTTGCCTCCAGGTCTGTCTGATACTTTCTTCTGCAGTTGACAAACTGGGTCGGTTGATTTGAACTCCTACAACCCCATGATGTAGGGCAGGAATCGTCAGGACCCTGAGCTCAGAGACGTTATGAGGCCTGCACAGGGCCCTCCAGCCAGGAGGTGGGAGACTCAGAGTTCTTGATCTGCATCCAGGGGAGGTGGCCTTGCATGCAGCCCCAGAGGTGGTGAGGCAGTGGGGGAGGACCAACCCTGTGATCAGATACTTGATCCCAACGTAAACACCTGGCTCCCCTGAGGCTGTGAGCCTCCACCTCCAGGCTTTACAGCTCCTTGCTATGTCACCTGTCACCCTCAGAATGAATTTGCTCTCTCCTGTCAATGACTCACAGCTCCTGCTTATCAAGACAGCAACAGCTGCAGGCCAGAGCCCCTGACCTGTCCAAGAGGAGGGCAGGGGTCCCTGGTGGAGCCTTGGGGTTTGGTGGGCTTGAGCTCAGGGCCCCAAGAGGGTACCCAGGGTGACCACAGACACCAGAGAGTTTACTCTGAGACTCACTCTGTGGCCGTGAGCGCATTTTCCCTCTCTTATGGCCTCCACCCCGTCTGAAGATGGAGTGCTGGATAACATGGCTGCTAAGACTTCATTTAGCTCAAAGCTCCCAAGTCCTTCTCCTGCCCCTTTCTCCTTTATCAGCTGGTCTACAAGGGTTAGAGTTGGGGGGCTGCAACCAAGAAAGAGTTGGAGGGCCCCGGGGAGGCATTGGGACTGGACAGGAGGCTGGACCAGCCAGACCAAGCAGTTTCATGCATCTGGAACCCCCCAGAAGGCGAAGAAAGACTGGAAGGCTTGTGGGGAGGACATGCAGGCAGGAGGAAGTGCAGGGGGGTGGGAGAGGGAGGCTCAGGGCGCACAGCGGCCAGCCTCTAATTTAGTAGGGCCCATTTGCAATTTCCCAAAAGGAAATGGAGGCAGACTGTAAACTGCCCAAGGTCCCAAAGCGTGGAAGCAGGGCCAGATTGGAAGTCTGAGCCCTCCTGCCTCTCCACTCACAACGCTGGCAGGAAGGAGGCAGCATCGGGGCTGGTGCATGATGGGGGGATGTGGGAGGTGTCGGGAGGGGCCCTTTTTCCCTCTGAGGAACCAGGTCTTGCTCTTTCACCTCCAAAGCGATTCCCAGGTCTAGCCGCACCTGCCCTCCATCCCCACTGCCACTGTCTCTATCCAGGGCACCTGACCTCTGTCCTTGTTCTGCATCTGACCCTGTTACACCCTTGCTTGCAGTCGTCCCTTCTGTGGCTCCCCATTGCCTCCGTGGTCAAGTGCGCACTCCCGAGTGAGGCTGCCAGGCTCTCAGGGGCTGCAGCCCCACCGAGGGACAGCCAGCTCTGGGCACGCCCTGTGAGCGTCCTCCCCTCTTGTCTCTAAGGGTGACTTAACGTGCCCCAAGTAAACGTTTTCAGAACTTAGTACCTGGGGTGTGCTACTCAATTTGCCAGTCCTGGCGTAACTGGAAGCCCGGAGTCCTGGGGTCTAGCCTCGGCTCTGCCTGTGACTGGCTGAGGAGCCCTCGGCACCGGCTCTCCCCGGGCCTCGATTCCTCTGCCTGCAGTGTGGGTGGGAGGTTTGGGTGAGCTTCTGCTCTTCGGCTTCCTCTCTCTTCTCTCTGTGATCCCAGGAGAGGAGCTGGGGGTGCTGGTCCCTGGACATGGGGGGGGAGGCAGGGCTAGCAGATCCCCCTTTCCAGATACTCCAGTGCCGGAACGATGCAGAACACTCCCATGCAGTAAGCAGCGAGTGAGAACCCAGAGTTGCACCTAATCATTAAGCCCTAATTAATTCATTTACTGATGAGGTGCTGCCAGGACTTCCTGGCCTTCTCCTTAATGCCCTCCTTCCGGCTGCATCTGATCTTCAAAGGGATGGGACGCATTTCCAAAAATATCCATTTTCCCATGATTCTTCGGGAGGACTGCTCAGCTCAGCAATCAAAGACGAGGAGGTCGAATCCTCCCTGGCAACGACTCCCTGCTTGTTAGGCCTGTTTTCTTTCAGGGTCGCCTCCTGCCTCCCCAGCAAAGCCTGCTTCCTCTGGAGGACCCACCTTGGCAGGCACTCCAGCTCCTGGCTCCACGGGAGGGATGTAAAAAGGCGGCTTGGGCCAAAGGAGTGACTCTTGTTACCCCTACCAATACCCCCTTTGATAGGGACAAGTGACATGTTCTGAATAGTAACAGTTACAGCTACCACCACATGCCAGGTAGAGCTCCAAGCACTCTGCATGTGTTAACTAAAAACACGCTCAACCATTAGATAGGAATGTCTTGCAGATTAGGAAATTGAGTGGTTGTGTGATTTGCCCAAGGGCACACGGCTAGTAACAGTCGTGCCAGGTTTTGAACCCAGGCTGCCTGGGTGGAGAGCCATGCTCTTAGCACCGTTTGGTATTGCCTCTTGTAAGGGAAGAACCACTGTCCCCAAGCCTCTTTCTTTGCAGACATTCCGGAGCAGCCTTTTGTCCCAGGCACCTCCGGTCCACTGAGGAGACTCTGCATCCCCTGGTTCCTTGCCTCCCCGCAGACCTCCCTGAAAACCCTGTCACTGAGCCCTCAGCATTCTGGCTGCTTATCCTTCATTTAGCAATTACAAGAGAATCAGCAGCACCTTAGCCAACTCTGCCCAAGGCTCAGCTCTGCTGAGACTCAGGTCCACAGGTGGGAAGGCTGAGTAGAGCTTTAAAAATCCATTTAGCCTCGTTTCCCCCCCTGGCAGGCTACCGTGACTGGGTGAGCAGCCTCTCAGCCGATGGGCGGGGTGAGAGGGGAAGACTCACAGCCTCGCAGCCTCGCAGCCTCGCAGCCCTGGCGGCTGGGCCATGTCTCCCTCAGGGACATAGTAGCATCTCCACCCACTGCCCACTCCATCATCTCCTTCTTACCCGGATGCTGCCATGAAGAGGCAGCTCCCACGCTGGATGGCAATTCCGTGGCCCTCCCTGTCCACAGGAGGCCAGCAGGCCCCGGTCACTCACACAGCACGGCAGCACTGAGCGGTCCTGGGCCCTGCCTCTGTCTCCCACATTCTTCCTGGCCCCAGGCATTGGGATTCAGGCAGCTTCCCCAGCCCTCCTCCTTCCCCCTGTGATGTGGGGGTCAGTGGGAACTACAGAAAGGCCTGCTGCAGGACAGAGGCTCTGGTGGAAATGGCTCGGGACTCAATTCTCTTCCAGCTTGTCCTGCCTGAAGTCAGGGCTGGAATTAACTCAAGGCAATCTCTTAGAGCCACCAGTGCTGGAGGGGATTTAGGATGAGGCAGAACAAACTTTAGAGCAAGGGAGAAAAGACTCAAGGTTTGGGTCTTCCTTTGTCTTTTTCCTACTGGGTTTCAGAGCCCCCTCCACCCACCCAGCTCTAGTCACCCCAGAGCCCCAAAGCCAAGCCCCAGACCACAGGGCTCCTCCCCACGTACTTAGAAGGGGACAGGTTCTGGGCTACAGTCAAGCCGATGGCTGCACAGACCCCGCCCCTCCTTGGGCCATGTGCCAGGCCGTGAGCCAGCTGTGCCAGACCCTAAGAATGAGACACTTGTCGTGTGAGACCCACCCCTGTGATGTGCCCCAGCACACTCCTGCTACCTGTCATTTTCTGTCCCAGGACATGAGCTGCTCTGGGGGAATGCCACCCTAGGGACCTTCCCCTGTAACACCAGCCTTGTGAGCCTGACCCCATGTGGAACACGGCCACGAGAGGACCGCCCCCGACAGGAAACCGCGCCACAGATAGTCACCGCGTGAAACCCTGTCATTTCATTGTGCCGCGTGAGCCGTCACCATGCGCCCTCCCACCGTGCCAGGCCAGGCCTTGGGAGTGAGAACTGACTCATCAGATCTCACCATTCTTTTTGGCTGTCACATGAGACCCCAAAATGGGAGAGTTCTCGGAAGGGCATGCAGCACATAAGGGCTTGCAAGGAAACAGCCCAGTGAGCTAGTCGGGACTGCCCAAGGGCCAGCCTCGTGGCCCGATTGTGCCAGCGTGAGCGAGCAGAGTCACGGCCCCACCGTCAAGCGTTGGATCAACACTGAGCCCCTGTTGGGACCGGTGGCCAGAAAGAGGCGAGAAGACAGGGGAGTGGGGAAGCCCTTCCCCAGCTTCGCCCAGAAATCGGGCCCCCGTGCTGGCCCAGATGGATGGCTAGATGGACAGACAAATGGACAGACGGATGCCTAGGTTGCTTTTGGGAGAGGAACCACGAGTCACTTTACCTTTCTCTCCTTTTTCCAGACAACGGCTACCGGGAGTGCCTGGCCAATGGCAGCTGGGCGGCCCGCGTGAACTACTCAGAGTGCCAGGAGATCCTCAGTGAGGAGGTGAGGCTGCCAGGAGGCTACCTGTGCCGAGGGGAGGGCCAGGGCCCCCAGCTCACTTTCGTGCTTGCTGCACGGCCGATGGCCAGTCGGGGTCGGGCAGCCAGAGGCTGATGTCAAGGCCGTGGGAGCCAGCGCTCCCATAACCACAAGGGAGGGTGCGCCAAGTGGGCGGTGGGCAGGCTGACAGCCACGAGCTGGGTCCTCATCCCTCCCTCCCTCCATCCCTCCTGGCCTTCCCTCCTTCCACCCGCGCTGCCTGGAACAGATTTTCATCCCTTTTCCACCTCACCCACCTGAGCAACACATCCAAGTCCCGACAGGGGACTATATCAGAATCGAGGGTGGGGTGGGGGCAGTGCAGTTTGAAAAAGCCCTTTTAGAGAACATTTTAAATAGTTAAATGTTTTTGAGAAGATGTTGTCTACACATAATGCGGATTCAGAGGTGCAGATGGGCGTGCAGAGAATGTCTCCTTCTCAGCCCAGCCACTGGGCTCCCTCCCAGGGCAACCCTCCTACCAGTTTCGTAAGTGTTCTTCCAGACGCCTTCCCTGCACAGTCGAGTAATTAGGGACATGTATTCTTTTCCGTTTTTAGTAAAATGTTGCGTATTATACACCCTGTTGGACGCCTTGCTTTTTTCATATAATTATCCATCTTAGTGATTGTTCTGTATCAGTACATAAAGAGCAGCTTCATTCTTTTTTCACATTTGTATAATATCACCTAGTGCAGATGGACCATAATTTATTTACTCAATTTTTATTCTCAGTCTTTGATTATTACCCACAGTGATGCAATGAATAATCTTGTAAGGTTGACATTTGGCAGATGCACAGGTGTGTCTATCTTCCTGGCATTCCCGCCCTGCCTCCCTTGTCCCCTCCCTACATCTCACTGCGCCCCTTCAGTGGTGCTGAGGAAGGTGGGGGTCGTAGAGCTGGAAGCCCAGGGCAGGAGGGAGGAATGTCAGGCTCTGGTGAGGAGAAGCGAGAGGGGCTGGTCCAGGCAGCCGTGGGAATGCCTGTCCTCAAGGGCCTAAACTGGACAGGACCTCGGAGACCCTCCTTCCCATCCTGACCTGCCTGGGAATGAGAATCACCCAGAGCACTGGCTCCAGTGCAGGTCCCAGGTCTACACCCAATGCCCAGTAAGTGAAATCCTCCAAGGAAGACTGGGGACTCTGCCCCGGGGGTGGGGGGATGGTTCTGATGGGGAAAGAATGAGAAATTCTGACCTAATGCAGCCTGTTCGGCTTACAAATGGGGACTGAGGCCCAGAACGGGGGAGGGGCTCACGCAAGTTTACCCGCATGGCCTGAGTGAGTCAGAGCCTGGAACCTGGGGCTTTGAAGTCCAGGTTCTCCTGTGCCCACCGCCAGGTACTCGGTGTGAGGTGAGGTTGATGGTGGGAGAACAGCTTTCCCCACCTGGCACCCCCCCATCCCTGGGCGCTTTGGTTAGCCTCTCCCCCGGGTTGTGGGGGGAGGGGGTCCTGCTGTTCCCTTTCAGAACCTACAAAGATAGGGCAAAGCTTAGCCTACAAGAACGACACGTTCTTTAGTGGGGCTGCTCTGGCAGGGCGGGAGACCTGGGATGCAGGGCGAGAGGCTTCTGGCATCTCAGATCACACAGGCCAGACCACGTGGTCCACCCTAGGCTGGGGTGGGTGGGTGCGGCTCCCCAACAGCCTGACCTGAGCAAAGATAGCCCCCAGGTTGCTAAGAACGCACCCCCGCAAAGTCCTGAGGTTGAGGAGGAGGATGTCCCCCTGGACTGAGGGAGGGAGGTGGGGTTCCAGGTCAGGAAACATGGCTGAGTCAGAAGAGATAGGCTTGGTTAGGGGTGGGGAGAGCAAGTAGACTGATCAGTGGGGCGGAAATCCTTACCTGATGCACAACAGAGATGTGGGAGAATGGAAAATGGGGTTCATTGTCAGGAAGGCAGGTGGATGCTGTTGGCCACTCTTAGGACCACAGGTGATGCGCAGAGAGGGATAGTAAGGGGGCTGCATGGCCAGGGCAAGAAGTCTTCAGCACCTCCCCAACCCCATCAGACCCACCTTGTGCTCTGGGCGTATCTCCAACTGGAGGTCAGATAGCCAGCCACGCCCACTCCAGAGGGGCAGTCATCAGTCCCCTTCAAGGACATCAGCAAAGCTGGAGACGCCAGCTGCCCCCAGCCTCCCCCCTCCCCCCCAGCACGGGAGCCTCTTGAATGTCACCGGAAGTTCACGGTTCACCCAGATCTCTCCTGCTCTAGGTTAAGCCCATTCCTTCCGTTGGCTGATGGCGGACACTCAGCAGCCCTTCTTCCCCCAACACCCTTCAGAGCCTCGAGGGCAGAAGTCAGCTGCCCTCCGCCTTCTCTTCTCCCCACCCTGTCGCTCCCTTTGGGACAGGGATCCCTCCCTCTCTCCACCAACGGGGCTTGGTTGAGAGGGAGGATTAGGGAGCACCAGCACCAGCTTCTCATCCGTTCCCTCTTTGGCATTAGAGTGGGAACTGCAAGGACTTTGGAGGCAAATGGTTTGGGGCTTGGATTCTGGTTCCAGCACTTGTGCTGTGTGACCCTGGGCAGGTCCCAGCTTCCTGGTCTGTTTGTAAAAGGGCCGGAAGTTATGCAGCCTCTGCCTCCTGGTAGAGGGAGGGCAGTGCCTACCTGTGTCATGGCCCGTGGAGGGTGCACCCCATCTGTCTTCTCACTTGGAGTCATAGGAGGTTACAGCGGACACTCGGGGTGAGGGGTCATTGATGAGGAGACCGCGGTAACACAGCCGCCCTCTCCTCTGGTTGCCGACTCAGGGGGTGCTGCCACTCACAAACCCCCCACCCGGCCCGCCCTGCCTGGCTTCGTCACCCACCCTTTCTCCCAGCAGCCTCTCCCGGCCCCGTTGCCTAGCACTTGGGTGATCGATTAATTTAATTTGTGAAAATGCCATCCCCTCGGCCAGCCCCCAGCCTTGCCAGGCCCCTCCCCACTCCCAGGGCTCCTGTTTCCTCTCGCCAAGAGGAGAGTCTCCAATTAACCAAGCACCCCCAGTTTGGTTTCTCAGCTCTGGGCCCTGGCTAAGCCCTAATTAAGCACCAGCGCCCAGCGGGATTGCAGATAATGGATTGGCAGGCCGGCAGCCTGTGAAATGGGACTTGGGAGGGCGCCCAGAGGCCAGGCTGCGGGGGAGACCTGCCCACAGCCGCAGCCACCAGGGGACAAGCCCCCTGTTGGGGAGCTCCCCAGAGGGCGCTGACCCTCCAGCACCAGGCTGCACTCGCCCCCGTGCCCCTATCAGCAACCCCCGCCGCGTGCCGTCTCCGTCCACTGCAGGGACACCCCCACTGCCCCAGACTCTCCCCCAGCTTCCATGACACTTGCACATGCCCTGCTCCCCTCCCCCACGCCCTGCGGAGCACAGGGAGCCCATCCTCGGAGGGCACACCTTGGTAAGACACAGGTGAGACTCTGGGGGTGGAGGTTTATGGGCTGGGGCTCACTGCTCACAGGGTGGGCGTTTGGGCCAGAACTTCTGAAATGCTTCGGAATCATCTGGCCTTTTTGCTAAAATGAGGATTCCTGACTCAGTGGGCCTATGGAGGGGCTTAAGGTTCTGTACTTCTTAAGGATCCTGCAGTCTCCTAGGTGATGCAGATGTTGCCTGTCTGGGGATCACACTCAGAGGAGCCAGGGGCCAGGTGAGGGAGAAGCTCAGGAAACCCCGGCGGAGAGGAAGGGCCCCAGAGGGTGCGGCCAGGGCAGAGGGGGACCAGGGCTGGGAGGGGCCCGGGCGGGCGGAGCCTCTAGGCAGGGCAGTGGGGACGGGCGGGGAGAACTCTTCGCTCTGTCCTGAAAAGGTGTCGGAACGGAGAGTCTGACAGTGCTGCCATTTGGGACAGGGTGCATCGTGCAGAGCCTGCTCACGATTGGCTGGACACTATTTAGTGGATTCTGGTCATTGAGGGTATGATGGAGTGGCCTCTGCCCAGTGCCCCACTGTGCCACCTTCCTCGGGATGCCTGAGGTGTCCATACTGGACAGGGACAGAGTGCTGGTCGGGTCCCCCGGCACTGGCTGTGTCCATTTGTTTTTCAGGCGTCTCAGCGGCTTCTGTAGGTAATGATGGCTTTCTCTCGGGAGGTCACCGTCTGTCTCTCAGGTGTCATTAAGGCCTCTCGGGAGTGTCACTAGGTACCTCTTCGGATGTTGCTGGCTGTTCTCCCTCGGTGCCACTGACAGCCTCTCAGGGTGTTGCTGACCACCCCAAAGGCTATCTCTGGCCAGCTCTTGAGTGTGGCTGGCCGTCTCGTCTGGTGGTGCTGGTCTCCTGAGGGAGCACTGCCATCTGCCCAACAGTCTTCCCTGGCTCCCTCTGCACAGTGACACCCCACCCCCTCCCCAGCTGGTTCTCAGGTTCTTCTCAGGTTGCATCAGGCTGATGTGGCAGCTGGGGGACAAGGCTGGGACCAGCCTGGGCCTCCAACCCCAGAGCCACACAGGGGCAGCCCTGGAATGGTTTGTCCCATTCTCCCCTTTCCGCCTCGGTGGAGAAAACCCCTCATGAGCCCCCATCCTCCCTGCAGAAGCCCAGGACAGAGAGAGTGCCTCTGTTTTCCATCCCTGCTTGTCCCTCAGGAAATGGCACCATAGGGACAGGGAAAGGAGGGTCTTTAAAACCAAGCTGTACTGGGTTCCACCTGCTGGCTCGGGGGCTTGAGCCAATTCTGCAGCCTCTTCGACTGGAAAAACAGGGACAGAAGGACAGTCTCAGAGGGCAGTTGTGATAAAGAAAAGCAGTGACATCTGTAAAGCTCCTGGCTCTGTGCCCAGCATACATAGGTGCTTAATAAACGACTCACCTCACCCGCAGCCGAACCCCCCGCCCCAGGCACGGCCTGCTGTGAGGGTCCAGGCAGGGGCAGCTGGCCGCAGCTGGGGGTGAAGGGGCTCCCTGCACTGTGCTCATCTTGCCCACCTGGGCCTGCGAGCAAAGCAATTCCCGCACCATCCTGGGCTCCCAGAGGTTGTGGGCGCCCAGGGGCTTCACCGTGTGGATTTGCGGAAAATTTAATGAAAGGTCACTGAGCGCCAGCTCCGGTCAGGCTGGATGCCTGCATGGAGTCTCGGATTTGGTGCCTGCTGCCAGGTGCTCAGAGACCCTCCCTGTTAGCACAGCCTCCTTCCTTTCTGTCTCCCCTTCTTCTCTGTCTCTGCATTTACACCTCGCGTTGGGTCTCAGCCCCTAGGAGCCAGAGTCGCTAATGTAGTCCCTGCCATGTTCCTGAGAACTGAGAAGCCCCTAGAGCAGGCAGAGCCTCTGAGACCTGGGTTCTGCAGCAAGGATGCCCTTTCGGGGTGGGGGGGGGGCAGAGAGGGAGGGCTTGGCTCCTGTGCCTGCGGGGTGTCCTCCTGCAGCGGTACATCCCTTGGGTGAGTGGGCTTAGGCCTCAGTTTTCTCATCTGGAAGATGGATAGGGCTGGACTTGATGGACCATCAGTATGGAAAATGAATTAAGTAGTAACACCTGGGACTTTGTTATAGCCTTGGTGCAAGATCCCCTCCACTTCAAGCAGACCCCCTGAGCCGGGGCAGGACCTAGAAAGTGAATGACAGAACCTGAGAGAGTTTCTATGATGTCCATTCTGTGGGTGCTAATCCACACAGCTCTTCCTCCTCACCTCTAGGGGCAGACGTCAGCCACAGCAGGAGGGACTCAGGGGTGATCAAGAAGCTGGTGGCTCCACCCAGAAATGGGGGATGGAAGGGAGTCTGGGAGGGTGGTGTCTAAACCCACCAGAGCCAGTGTTTGGACTGAGTGGACATGTGAGTGTGAGAGCACACCCGTGAGCCATGCATACACAGTTGCGCGTGCAGAACGGGGAACGCTGTGTGATATGGAGTCACGTTCACTAACATTTGTTGGACAGCACGGAGCAGGGGACAGAGCATGGGATTCGGGGACAGGCAGGCAGTGGGACACAGTCTCAAATTACACAGTGCTGCTCCAGGGCAATGCCTGACGCATGGGGGCTCAGGGAGGGGTAACTGTTGTTAGTGTCACCCACTCTGTCCGGCCACCCGTGGGGGCCGTCCTCAGACACCCAGTGGGCGCAGCGCTGGGGCTGTTCGGGAACCTCACCTCTGTCCCTCTCTCCGGCCTCAGAAGAAGAGCAAGGTGCACTACCATGTTGCCGTCATCATCAACTACCTGGGCCACTGTGTCTCCCTGGTGGCCCTCCTGGTGGCCTTCGTCCTCTTTCTGCGGCTCAGGTGAGAAGTCCCCAGCACTGTCCCTGGGGCTTGAGGAGGGTGGAGAAGTTAGACGCAGGGCACTGCTGGGAAAGGGAGTCCTGCCCCCTCACCTCAGTGGGAGGAGGTGACAGATATAGAGTCCCAGGTCTCTTGGAACCTCTGGCAGAGTCATTTCTGTCCCCCTGTGTAGTAACTGCTGGGGGCAGAGAGGGAGGATGGGGGAAGGCCAAAGCATCAGGGTTAAAAGATCGGGGGAGGCGTCCCACTGGAGACCTTGTGTTTTCTGACCCTCAAACCTGGCTTCACAGGGAAGGCAGGAGAGCCGGGGGCGGGGGAGGGGCGGGGGAAAGGGGCAGCCCTGGCCCTGGGGCATTGGCCTCAGCAGGTTCCGCCCCCAGAGCTTAGGTCTGGGCTGGCAGTAACGGGGAAGGGCCCTGTATGACTTAGCCAGCCAGCCCCGCTCTGAGGCCAGTTTCCTCATCCACACACCTGGCCAGGAGTGGTGCTGGCGGCCTGTCCCTCATCTTCTCTCTCTGCCCCTTGCCCCATCCCCCACCCTCCCCTGCTGCCCCCAGGAGCATCCGGTGCCTCAGAAACATCATCCACTGGAACCTCATCTCAGCCTTCATCCTGCGCAATGCCACATGGTTCGTGGTCCAGCTCACCATGAGCCCCGAAGTCCACCAGAGCAACGTGGTACGTCCTGTAGGGGCAGGTCCAGGGTCAGAGGAGGCATCCGGGTGGGGCTGCCCTGGCAGAGGTGGGGCCAGAGCCAGGCCTTGTGGGCGCGAAGAGGAATGGATCCTGGGGAGCGCCCTCTCCTGCCGAGGGAAGGCCCCAGGCCCAGGGTGGGGTGCTTCTGGTGCCCCAGCCTGTCCCCCGGCTCACTGTCATCTCTGGTGGGGGCGGGGCGGCAGGGCTGGTGCAGATTGGTGACAGCCGCCTACAACTACTTCCACGTGACCAACTTCTTCTGGATGTTTGGGGAGGGCTGCTACCTGCACACGGCCATCGTGCTCACATACTCCACCGACCGGCTGCGCAAGTGGATGTTCATCTGCATCGGCTGGGGTGAGCGGGCCGGCCCCAGCGCCGCCCCCCCCCCGCCGCCGCCCCGGGCAGGCCGGCTGGCTGCAGGGCCAGGTTAGGGCGGCAGGGTGTGCACCGCGCAGCCCTCCGCTCCTACTGAGGGGCGGGAAGATGGGACCATCTTGAAGGAGCCATGTTGGGCGAAGGGATAGCTCTGCCCTGGGGACCCCTATCCACCTCAAGGCCCTGGGCTGCGCTGGGGTCCTCGCAGCCCAGCACCCCAGACCCCAGTGACTGGCCCTGTGACAGCCAGTCTCTTCCCCAGGTGTCCCTTTCCCCATCATCGTGGCCTGGGCCATCGGGAAGCTGTACTACGACAATGAGAAGTAAGTTACCTCCTTCCTTTCTCTGCCCTCAGGGCCCCCTGCACCCCAGGTCCAGGCTTTCAGCCCAGGTCTGCCTGACACTCCCCAAGGGCCTTCAGCCATGTCCCCTTCCCTGTCAGCCAGTTTCTTCATCCCTAACGAGAAGGTGCTGGGGGCTGGGCTCGCTCCGAGGCTCCTTGGCAGTGCCTGAGGTGGGACTGGACAGGCGGACCCAGGCCATGTTATCTATCCTGGGCTCTGACAGCAGGCAGACCACATGAGGGTTACCCGCTGTCTGTGGAGCCAGACTGTCCAGTGATGGAATCGTGGCTCCATCACTAAGTAGCTGTATGACCTCGGGCTACTTACTACAGCGTGCCTCAGTTTCTTCATCTGTAAAGTAGGCATCCTAATAATAATGCCTCCCTCACAGGGTTGTGTGGGGATGACATGAATTAATACATAGTAAGCATTGCAAATAGTTCCTGGCACATGGTATATGCTATACAAATGTTTTCTATTAATTTTAAGACTTGTTTTAACAAAAGATTCCATAAGCATTATAGAAATTGATCCAGACAAATTGCTCAGAGACTCCCTTCAGCTCTGAAGGCCTGAGGTGCTTTATTAAATGGATGCAGGTGCTCCCAGCTGCCCCTGAAAACTAGACCTCCACTGCAGTGGTTCTCAACCTTGGCTCATGTTAGAACCATCCAGGAAGCTTTAAAAAATGCCAATACCCAAGCTTGATCTCCAGGTTCATGTGTAATTGGTCCAGAGTGTGGTCTGGGTGCAGGGATGTTTTTAAACTGCTCAGGTTGATTCTACTGTGCAGCTAAGATAGAGAACCACTGAGATAGAGGCAGAAAAAGGGGACAAAGCCAGGTGACAGGATCTTCTCTACCACAGTGGTTTTAGGAACCCACTGTCTGACTGGGGTTCCAGGCGGCCTCCATCAGGGGCAATTCCTCCCCACAATCATAGTGAGCAGCGTAGCCACCACAACCTCACTGGGATGGACAAGGGGCCTAGAAAAATTATGTTCACATTTATCAGGGTGATCCTTCCTGACTCTGTTTGCACAGCTGGTGGGGTCGGGGTCCAGTCTGGGAGGAAAGGGCAACAGGAGCATTGTAAATCTCGGGCGATGGTGCCTGTGCCTGCAGGTGTGCAAGTGTGTGTGTGAGTACAGGGGGGAAGAGGAAGAACAGGTTTCCCGCCCCTGCCCAGGGTGCGACTTGGAGCGAAAAGGACGCCTGAGCTGAAGTTGCTCTGAATGACTCTGGAGTGCCACCTTGTGGCAAGATTGCTGACACTGCAGCAGAAGAGATCCAGACTGGGGCAAGGGCTGCAGTTGACTCCAGACAGCTCACGTTTTGTCTGCACAGTATTATGTGAAAGCTTGAATTTGTTGCCAGTCTTTAAAAAGTCAGGATTTTCACCCTGGCTGGTGTGGTTTAGTGGATTGAGTGCCAGCCTGCAAACCAAAGGATCGTCTGTTCAATTGCCAGTCAGAGCACATTGCTGAAGGGAGCTCAGGAAAATGCAAAACAAGTCTGCCTCCTGCAACAGGTGGAACCTATGGAATTTCTTCGCCAAGACTATGCACGCTGCAGTTGAGCAGGTTCCGAAACCGCTAGCTGATGGGTGCCCGCTATGTGATGGGGCAGGGCAAGACACTGTCAGTAGGCATGTGCCAGAGCCACAGTGGGGACCAAGGGGAGCGTGGTGTGCGGGCCCCAGCCTTTTCCCCTCAGTGGTCTCTTCCATGATCTCCCTGCCACACTGCGTGCTTCCAGCTTTACACCTAATAATAGAGGATGCTGTCCATCCTGCAGATGGGACAGCGGAGGCACTGTGGTGGGGTCAAGTGGCTTGACCTTTGGCTGAGGTTGAAATTGGGCACCCAGAGCCTGGTTTCTGGCCCCAGTCCTGTCCTGGCCAAGCACCGCCCCTCCCCCACGCCACTGAACTGGACCCAGGTGATCCCCTACCCTCATCTCCCATCTGTGGCCTTCTAGGTGCTGGTTTGGCAAAAGGCCTGGGGTTTACACCGACTACATCTATCAGGGCCCCATGATCTTGGTCCTGCTGGTAAGAACCTGGGTGGGGGGCAGGAGAGAGGGGCACAGTGGGAAGGGGCAATCAGTGCCTTCTGTGAACCCAGAGGATCCCTCTGCCTAGAATGTTCGAGTGCTAATGAAGGTGGGGAAAGAGCAGCAAAGGGGACCAAGACCAGCCCTGAGATAGCTGAGTCCCTGACCTGTCCACTCGCCCCAGACATCTTGTGGACACACATGTCCACACCATCCTGCTGTATGCTCGGTTGCAGATCAATTTTATCTTCCTTTTCAACATCGTCCGCATCCTCATGACCAAACTTCGGGCGTCCACCACGTCTGAGACCATTCAGTACAGGTAGCTGGTCCAGCCTCCCCCACCCCGGGGGGCTCCAGAGATCCCAGCCTCCCATCCAGGGTCTCCCCTCAGGCCTGGCAGTCCCTCCTGAAACCCCAGCCCCCCCTGTCTCAGACTGTCTGGGACCTGCCGCCCCTGCCCCAGTCCCCTCTGGGGTGGGCTGTGACTCTGGGCCTCCCCACCCCGCCACCCCAGGAAGGCTGTGAAGGCCACTCTGGTGCTGCTCCCCCTCCTGGGCATCACGTACATGCTGTTCTTCGTGAACCCCGGGGAGGACGAGGTCTCCCGGGTTGTCTTCATCTACTTCAACTCCTTCCTGGAGTCCTTCCAGGTACCGACACCTACGCTGCCCTCTGCCCGGACCGGCCTGCACCTCCAGGGGTGGGCGTTCTCCCAGGCTGAGGCCTGGAGGGGCAGGGGGCTGGAGAGGGAAGGGGGCTGCCCGAAAACCGGGTGGGGCACACCGCGCACTCCCTTGACCTGCCTTCTCCCTCCACCCCAGGGTTTCTTCGTGTCTGTGTTCTACTGTTTCCTCAACAGCGAGGTAAGGACCCCAGGCTGGGGCTCAGGACAGCAGGAGGCCTTTTAGGACCAGAGATGGTCTGTAGCCTCCCTCTGCCCTCCATGTGCCGGCCCCCTTCCCTGCCCACAGGTTCCTATAGGGATGCAAGGGGAGCCCCAAGGGGGCCCGTGCCACCTGCCCACGCTGCGCCCGCAGTGGCAAGCCTGCTCCCCTGCTCTCGTAGGCGGCTGACATGGCGGCGGGGGGGCACAGATCTGGGGCTTCAGTCTCATCAATGAGTCTGTGACATGGGCTGTTGAAGACCAGGAAGCCGAGCCCTGGGGCAGGAGATGCACGTGGGTTATCCATGGCAAAGGCACGGTTTGTGTGGATTAGAAAAATTCACCCCTTCCTCAGGACCCTTGAGGAAACTGCCCCAGCAAATACACAAATCAATGATGTTGCAATAATGTTCCCTTGTGGCCCTCTCTGCAACTCACACCTGTGTCCCACACCTGTGCACTGCTCACCTGTGTAGCTACTTGCCTGTACAACTGCCTACGGCAGCCCTCGGGGAGGGAGGGGCGTCCTGTGACAGGGCTCAAATGTTACGGCCTGCTCCACGCCCACAGGTCCGCTCTGCCATCCGGAAGAGGTGGCACCGATGGCAGGACAAGCACTCCATCCGCGCCCGCGTGGCCCGCGCCATGTCCATCCCCACCTCCCCGACCCGGGTCAGCTTTCACAGCATCAAGCAGTCCACAGCAGTCTGAGCTGGAGGGCCACGGAGCAGCCCCCGAGCTCTCTGTGGGGAAGATGGCGGCCAGGGTCAGCCGGCTGCCGTGTCTGTGGCGGGGACCAGCTCCTTCCCACTCTCTCTACCTTCAGCGGCACTGGCACTGCGACCTGGGAGGCTCCTCCCTGATCCCCAGCTGAGCAGGAGTCCTGGCCTGTGAGAGTAGTCACACCCTGGGCCACAGGCAAATGGGAAAACCCATAGGACTGCGCCGGACCCAGAGCCTCTGGCTCCCCCAGCCCCAGTCCTCCCTGGCAAATGGAGTGGGAATGGGGAGCTGGGAAATCCGAAGCAGCACATGGGTCCCTCCACAAGGTGTCTTCTCCCAGAGCACAAGGCAGCCAGCGCACTGGAGACCTGGGGCTTCCTCCGCAACTGGGGGAGCCATTCACTGCCCCAGGGGCATCCTGGGAAACCCTTGCAGCAGCATCCCAACCACCGTGATGATGCCTCTAGCCCTTGGCAATGCCTTCCAACAACACTGGGAACCAAGGCCACGTTGTCAGAGTCCTGGGGACATCAGAAACCAGTGGCATCCTCAGACAGCCGGCTATATTACCAGAAATCCTCCCAAGCCACCAGAACTTCATCTGGCCCTGTGGCACTGCCACCAGAAATGCCCTGCCTCGCTGCATTGCACCCTTGGACCTTTACTACCCTGCCGGACACACGGGCTCCCTCTCCCTAACCTGCCCCAGGTGTCTCCCCCTTTGTGAGAAGCTGGGGGTGGGAGGGAGTAGACTGTATGCAAGACCCAGGGTGCGCCCAGCCAAAGCCAGTCTCCCTTTGAAGGGGCAGAGAACACGAGGAACCATCCAACCTGCTGGCTGAAGTGACCGGGCCTCTGGGCAGCCTCTCTGCTGGTCACAGAGAGCTTCTTGCCCCGGACGGCCTCTGGGGCAGCATTGTTACTTAAGCAAAGACAGGAGAAGGGGCAGGACCCGCAGTCCCTCGCTGGCGCCAGTGCCCTGGAGCTGGACAAGCAGCCCTTTGGTCATCCAGCTAGCTGGTCACTTGTGCCCCAGGTGTAGACGGGCCCAGCACCCCCTGGACCCACCCACGCCCCGAGGCACTGGACAGCCAGAGCAGAGCTTTAGGGGTGCGGGGCTGGGTGACAAGGATGGCTGATGTAAATAATAACATTTATCTTTCAACCAGCATTTGTGAAGTTCTGGAGTGTGCCGGGGCCGGGTGGAAGGTGCCCTGTGGAGAAGTGGAGGCCACTCTCAGCGTTCAGGGCTGCTGTGTGTCAGGGAGACCTGGTAGCGCTCACGCACCCATCCAGGATGGGGCGGCGGGAGCCGTGAGAGCTGGCTGAGGACTGGGGAGAGGGGGCGGGTCCTGCCGGGCCCAGGCAACGAGGGCAGCTCTTGTAAGGTGGTGAGTTGAGGGAGAGATGGGCCACGGGCGAACGATGCAGGCAAAGGATGGCGTGGGTTAGGCACAGCTTAGCAAAGGTGGCGATGGGACCAGGCAGGAGTGTCCAGGCCCCAGGGGAGGAGTCAGATGGGAACAGGGAGCAGGTGGGGGTGTGAGGCCCGGAAAGGAAAGTGGCAGGAAGGGTGAGCGCGCACAGGCTGTGGGCCCTTGGGGAGCCTGCATGGGACACACGCCTCCATCATCCCACCCGAAGACAGATGGTTATTGACCCACCAACTCCTTCAGTCACGGGGCAAAGGCTGGTACCAGGTGGGGTTAACCCCCTGCACTTCCCACCGTCACGTGGGCCACAAGAAGGACAAGGGAGAGCGCCCAGCCGCTGGGTCTCTGACCACAGGTGCACACAAGAGTGTAGTGCCAGGGCACCAGGGACAGGCCACGATAGTGTGCTGAGAGCCCGGAAGCTCTTTGGAGGAAAGGGAGGTGCCGTGGGAGAGGGAGGAGCTAGGAGGTGTCCCTAAAAGCCATGTGGGGCACCCTGCTCTGCCAACTCCAGCTCTGTCCCCTTAAGTAGAGAGATGGGGAGGGGGCCAGCTGAATGAAGATGTAGGAAGGGGATCAGGGAACACCAGGACAGACAGGCTGACAGCATCCAGAGCAACTGCGGGGAGGGGCCCCATGGAGTCCTGGCTGGCAGGAGAGGCCAGAAGTGGCTGATGAGTCTCAAATGGCCACAGCTGAGGCATCCTTTTCAACTCCGCGTTTCACTCAATGGAGAAGTGAGAAAGGGAGGCCTTTCTTGGACAGGGGCGGGGGCGGGGGCTTCCCGAGGATGGAGAAGCCTGAGAGGGGCTGGAGGACTGAGGAGGTTGCATAGACAAGACATCTTGAGGGGGCAAGTGGGGCAGTGACTCCTTTTCCTGCTTGTGCCTCCTGGTAGCTTTAGCTGATGGGCTCCCGCCCACCGCCTACTGTGTGCACGGCCCTGTGTGAGGGACAGAGGAGCAGCACCCCCAGGACAACGCCAGCCACCAACTGCTCAGCTCAGAGCTGCTGACTCTGGAAGGCCATCAGAGGAGCTACAGGGGGCTCCCTGGGCAGGCACAGGCTGCTCCAGATGAGCCTCGGGACCCCTCCTATCCAGAGACTGGAAGGGCAGAAGGGCAGCTTTACGCACGGCTGGGAACACCTGGGCCCCAAAGAACTGCAGCCCCTGTGCTGGGGCAGGTGCCCAGAGTTTAGCCCTTCGGCGGCCGGTGTGCGGGCTGGGCTCCGGGGCCAGGGTGAGGGCAGGCCCCCCGGGACACCCTGCCCTGAGGTTTGGCTTGGGGGTGGAGCAGGAAGGGAGGTCCGGTGGGGACAGGCGCGGCCCTGCAGACGCACAGCTTGCTACACTTCAGGGAGGGGCCAGGCAGCTTCAGGGCAGGGGTCACTGCCACGCAGGCCACTCTCGCAAGCCAAAGACCACAGTCGCCTAAAACTGCCCTACCAGAGCCCATTTCTCCTGGGGACCCTCCTTCATGGGCACAGATCTTCAGTGGAGGAAAAACCGCAGTGTGGGGTTTCTATTTTCCACTTGGGGTTCCCCCCACTTGCCTCAGTGTGACCCTACCCTGGGTCCTCGGCTTACCCTCCAGCCTCCTCAGTCCCCTGCTGCTGCCTCGTCAGACCCCCAGGGCCAGGACTGGGGAGGGAGTCAGACCTGGGAAATACACTTATCAGGAAGAGAGGGAGACTTTGGAACCCAGATAATAATTCCTCCATTGTGGACACTCGCAGATCTCTGCAACCCACAGAATCCTTACTAACATTTATCATCCAATCCTCAACCAGCTGATGGAAGCCAGACCCAGACCATTTTACAGCTGAGGAAGCTGAGGCCTGGTGACCCCCCTGAGATCAGCAGTCCTCTGGCTCCAAGACCAGGGCTCTTCCCACCCTCTCAGTTGACTAAAGTCGCTGGGCTTGGATCTGGGGAGACCAGGACTGATAAGGCAGCTCTGGAGGAGGAGGCAGCAAGGAGGCCTCAGCGTGTCCGATCATCTCATGCGGATGTGCCCCAGGTGAAGGTGGGACCACCCCAAAGAGGGCCCCGCCTGTGTTCAGCTGCAGGGTCCTGCTGGTGGGGGCTGTGAGGGTTCGGTATGTCCACCCTGGCTCCTACACCCCTTCCCCATCTTTCCAACATCCTCCACCCCTCCACTTCTTAAATGATGCTTAACTGCGACACTGTAGGCCAGGCCACCAGAAGCCTCTGGGGGTCTCTCTGCACCCACCCAGCCCCTGCTCAGCCCACACGAGGACGCCAGGGGCCTCAAGAACATCCCATCCGGCTGCCTGACTTCAAACTCAGCTGCCCACCCTTGGTCCAAACAGAGGGCGGTGCTTCCTGCATTTCACCAACAGCGATACTATCATTGAGGGCTTACAGGGTGCCAAGCACCGCTGAGCCCCTCACACGTTGCCCTCATCTACTCTCATACCACCCTGTGAGGCAGGCACTGCTATGCCCATTTAACAGATGGTGAAAGCAAAGCCCAGAGAGGTTGAGAGCTGCCCAAGGGCACCCAGCAGGGCCTTGACTGGACGTGAGCCCGGGCTGGCCTCACTTAACCTCCACTGTGTTTAACTCCTGTGCAGCAGGAGTTCTTTGTAAGATGCCCCTCCCTGCCCTACTGCCGCACCCAACACTCTCCCTAGGGAAATTCTTCAGCTTCCCAGTGTGTGGACAAACAGCCTACAGAGACAAAGCCAGATCTCGGAGTTGGTGCCTGCAAAGCCCGAGCCTCAGGCGGACCCCTCTCTGAACGCAGCCCAGCCTCCAGCCTGACCGCAGGCTGCCAGCCTCCCGGCATCCCCAGCCCCTGCTCCATCTCCAAGCATCATCTCCTATTCCCTACCCGCTGCATCCTGCCATGCCCTGCAGATCCTTCTGGGCAGGCTCAGGGTCAGGAGAGTCCTTGACCACGCATATTTTTCAAAGCTCTCAGTGTGTTGGAAACACCAGTGAGATCATCATTTGGAGATATATCCAGAGATCACCAGAAAAACTACAACTAGCCTGTCCTGAGTGTAGTGGCCCTGCAAGGGAATGGAGTTGGTCCTGGATTTGTTCTTTTTAAAATTGTGGTAAAATATACATAACATAGAACTTACCATCTCAACCATGTTCAAGTGCACGGTTCAGTGTCATTAGTACATTCACAATGTTGTGCAACCATCACTACTATCTACTTCCAGAGCTTGTTCATCGCCCTGATGGAAACCCCATACCTTAAACACTCACTCCCCAGTCCGTCTTCCCCCAGCCTCTGGTCACCACAAACCTGCTTTCTGCCCCTACAGATTTGCCTATTTTTGATATTTCATAAAAGTAGGGTCATACAATATTTCTCCTTTTGTGACTGGATTCTTTCACTTAGCGTAGTGTCGTCAAGGTCCACCCACATCGTAGGAGCCTATATCAGAACATCATTCCTTCTTATAGCTGAATGAGAGATAGTCCTTTATCTGGATAGACTACAGCTTATGTACCCACCCATCAGTTGAAGAACATTTGAGTCCTTCCCACTAATTCCAAGTTATCATCAGGAGTGCTGCTCTGAACATTCATGTACGTCTTCATTTGAATACCTGTTTCCGATACTCTTGGGCAGATGCCCAGGAGAACCACTGCTGGGTCAAACTGCGACTCTGTTTAGCTTCTCGAGGAACCACCAAACTGGTTTTCACTGTGGCTGCACCATTTTACATTCCCAGCAGCAATGTATGAGGATACCCATTTCTCCACATTTTCATCCAAACTTGTTATGATCCATGTTTTTGATAATAGCCATCCTAGTGGGTGTGTTGGTCCTTGGTTTTTAAAAGATTCAAGGCTCCCTGAGTGGACAGTGGGGCCCCCAGTGAGGGAATAGACTGAACCACAGTAGCTGGGGGGGCCACGAAGAGTTTTATTATCACAGATCTCAGCAAGGAGCTGGCTTGCCCTGCTGTGCCCAGCCTCTGCGCGCTCAGCTGCAGAGGTGCACCCAACCTAGACACCACCACACTCGGATAAGAGCGGTGTCAGCCGAGTGTCCCTTCCCTAACCACCCCAGCCCAAGCGCCAGTCCTTCCTGTGCAACAGGAGCCCAACAAAGGATAGCTGGCACCTCCTCCTCTTTCTCCTGCACCAGCCGGGGTACACTCACCAGTCCCGAGTTTTTGTTCCCTAATGCGTTTCTGACAGGTAACTTGTCATTGTAATTACTGTTTTGTAATATAATTAAATGTTGTATTAATGGGGGAAACAGAAGTGCACAAATACTGGGTGATATTGTTCCTTATGAAAACTCAGTTGAATGTTTTGAAAGGCACAATCTGAGTCACACACACACACACACACAAAATAGCTCTCAAATTAAGTGGGATGAGACAGATATAAATAATTGAATAGGAGGAGATTGTCCAAACCTATGTGGTTCCACTTGCCAACCACTTTGCAAGGCACTTTAAGCTCTCTCTCCATCCCAAGGAGTCCAAAGCTGGATGGCAGAGATGGGGTCCCGCTGGTGTGGATTTCACAAGGAAGGCGACTTGGGGCTGGCAAGGAATGGACCCTCACCTAAAGGAGAGCCTTAACGAAGGCCAGCGACTGTATGCTTACTCCTTGGAAGTGAAAATAAAATGTGTTTTATGGGTTGAATTGTTTGCAGAAACGATATGTTGAAATCCCAACCCCAGTATCTGTAAATGTGACCTTACGTAGGGTCTTGGCAGATGTAATCAAGTTAAGGTAGTCATTGGATCGAATCTAATCCAATGTGACTGATGTCCTTAAGAGAAGACGAGCAATGCAGAAACACACAGGGAAAATGCCACGCCGTGTGCAACAGAGGCAGAGACTGGGGTCATGTGGCTACAAGCCAAGGAACACCAAGGATTGCCAGCCACCACCCAAATCAAGAAGAGAGAGGGAGGATTCTACCCAGGCTCAGAAGTGTGCCCTGCGCACACCTTGATTTTGACCTTTTCTGAGTGTGCTTGCACTGCTATAAGAAATACCATAGACTGGGCAGCTTGAACGACAACATTTATTTCTCACAGTTCTGGAAGTCCAAGATCAGGGTGCCATTTGATTCAGTTCCTGGTGAGAGCTCCCTTGCCAGTTTGCAGACAGCCACCTCTTGCTGTGTCCTCACAGGTCAGAGAGTGAGATCATCTCTCCCTTGTCTCTTCTTATAAGGGCACCAATCCCATTCATGACATAATTACCTCCCAAAGGCCCCCAGGTACCATCACGCTGGAGATCAGATATTAAACATATGAATGAAGGGGGGAGGTGCGAAACCCTTAGTCCATAGCAGACTCCTAGCCTCCAGCCTGTGAGAGAGAAAACTCCTCTGTTAAGCCACCTGGTTTGTGATTGACCATTTATTAAGGCAACCCAAGGAGCCAACACAACGTGTAAAGTATATAGGTAATGTTTTAAAGGTTCCCCTCTTGAATCAACGTTTTCAGTAACCCCGTCCGCCAGTCAGTCCCGCTCTTCCGGGGTAAGTGCCCTGAGCGCACCGCCCAGGGCGCAGAGCCAGGTCAGCCAGAGGCTCCGCGCCCACTAGCCTGGCTTTGAATCTTGTCTCTATCACTGGCACGTTACCTTGGAAAACTTTCTTAGCTGCCCTGTGCCTCGGTCCCGTCTACTGTAAAACAGGGTCGCTCAGTGACACAGCCCACACGTATTTCCCGAGCAGCAGGGGAGAATAGCTAAGGTTCTTGTCCTCATGGAACTCAGCCAGCAGGAGACAGGAAATAAACAAGGAAACACATAAACAAGCCAAAACCTAGGACTGTAATAAATGCTTTGAAGAAAGTATATCTTGCCCTGACCAGCGCGGCTCAGTTGGCTGGGCACCGTCCTGCACAGTGAAAGGCTGCAGTTTCAATTCCTGATTAGGGCTCGTGCCTGGGTTGCAGGTTCAGTCCCCGGTGAGGGGCAACTGATGTTTCTCTCCCTCTCTTTCTCCCTCTTCCCCTCTCTCTAAAAATAAATAAACAAAATCATCTTTTATAGTTAATCCTGAGTTGTGATCATTACACGCGAAGAAGGGGGCTGTTTTCTCCTGGCCTTGTGGTGGCGGCATCACTGGCGTTAAGGCTTGAAGAGCAAGAACAAGCAGAGCTGCAGGGCCAGGAGCCTCAGGTGTTCAGGGGGCGGGCAGGCCCCTGGCAGTTCCCCGGACAGGGCGCGGCCCAAGGGACGTGCCCAGAGTGAGAGCTGGATCTGGGGGCTGGGGCTGGGGCTCAAAGGGTGGGCTTCTCTGAGCGTCAGGTTTTCCCAACCATAACATGGGGGTATTCAGGTGAGGTTAAGCTAATGTAACAGACCCACAATAAGCCAATGGCTTTAGGAAGATGATGTATCCCCGTCCACGGTGAGCATCCCATGCCACTACTCCATGCAGACATCCAGGGACTCAGTTCCTTCCTCCCCATCCCTTAGGACAATGTCCTCCTCTCCAGTCAATGACCTCCTGTCCATGACTGACTCGTGAGAGAGGGAAGGGGACAGACAAGGAGCCCACAGTTTCTGTGCAGGCCTCTGAAGGGCTCACATTCTTTGTGCTTGATTCCATTGGCAAGAAATGACCATGTGGTTGTCCCTTATTCCAAGGGAGGCTGGCAATGAAATTCCAGTCCCTTACCAGTAGAAAGGGGCACAGACTTGAAGAGCAGCTCACAGCCTCATGCTAGGTGGGTCTAGTAATACCTCCTTGCAAGGGCACAATGAGGACAGATCAAGTACCTGGCGCTTAGTAGAAGCTTAACAAAAGTGATCAGGGGGGTCAGGACTCCCAGGAGCCTCAGAAACTCTCTGATCCAATGCAGTCAATTCTTTGCAGCTAAAGAAACAGGTGTAGAGATGAGAGGCATCTGCCTGGGTCACCCAGCAGGCAAGGGACTGAAGTTGGTCCTGAACCCTGTCTTGGATCCGCAACCCCATCCTCCCACATCTTATTTCAAATTACCTGGCTCAGCCCCACCTGGGAGCAGGGACCCAGATAACGCCTCTCCACAGGCAGTGTTGTGGGACAGGATCCTGAGAGGGACTCTGTTTTCTGCAGCAGTGCCCTGAACCCAGAGGGCACAGCTTTATGACTAGGTAGGTGTGGCCCTGGTTTCTGGGATGACAGGCCATGCTGCTCTGTGACAGAGGGCCACACCCACCCCCTGGGAGAAGGAGCTGGGCTGTGAGCAGCTGCCACGTTGGGGTGACTGAGGAGGATGGCGTGCCTGGGCTTCTTCCTCCTCCTTCTCGCCAGTGCAGTGGCCCGGGAGGAGTATGGCGTGGTCCACGTGGTGTCACAGAATTGGAGCAAGGACTACTGTATGCTGTTCAGCTCGGACTATGTCACCCTGCCCCGGGACCTACGTCACGCCCCACTCCTGCCCCTGTACGATGGCACCTCGGCACCCTGGTGCCCTGGCGAGGACTCCTTCCACCAGGCCCAGCGCAGGTCCCCCAGCCAGCAGCCTCTCCACCGGACCACCGCCATGGTCATGAGGGGCAACTGCAGCTTCTACGCTAAGGGCTGGCTGGCTCAGGGCCGAGGAGCCCACGGGTTGCTCATCGTGAGCCGGGTCAGCGGCCAACAGTGCTCAGACACCACCCTGGCATCCCAGGACCCCCGTAAGCCCCTGCCAGACCTCACCATCCCCGTGGCCATGCTCCAATACGCCGACATGCTTGACATCCTCGGCCACACCCACGGCGGGGCCATGGTCCGCGTGGCCTTGTACGCGCCTCCAGAGCCCATTCTTGACTACAACATGGTGGTCATCTTCATCCTGGCCATAGGCACCGTGGCCGCAGGTGGCTACTGGGCCGGCCTGACTGAGGCTGATCGGCTGCAGCGGCGCCGGGCCCGAGGAGGAGGGGGGCCTGGGGGTCACAATCAGCAAGAAGCAGTGGCAGCCCATGAGGGACAAGAGGAAAAAGACGAGGACACAGCTGTGGACTTTACGCCGGCCATGACGGGAGCAGTGGTCACCATGTCCTGCTGCATCATGCTGCTGCTCTACTTCTTCTATGACTGCTTCGTCTATGTCATGATCGCCATCTTCAGCCTGGGGGCAGGCACCGGCCTCTACAGCTGCCTGGCCCCGCTGGTGCACTACCTGCCCCTGCAGCAATATCGGTGGTCCCTGCCTGGCCGCCAGGCCTGTCTGCCGCTGCCCCTGCTGCTGCTGGCTGGCCTGTGCACAGTGGTGACTGTCCTCTGGGTTGCCTACCGCAACGAGGACCGCTGGGCTTGGGTCCTGCAGGATGCGCTGGGCATGGCCTACTGCCTTTTCGTCCTGCAGCGTGTGCGGCTGCCCAAACTCAAGAACTGTATCTCCTTCCTGCTGGCCCTGCTGGCCTTTGATGTGTTCTTTGTCTTCATCACACCCCTCCTCACCAGGACTGGTGAGAGCATTATGGTGGAGGTAGCCTCGGGCCCGGCAGATTCCTTGAGCCATGAGAGGCTACCCATGGTGCTCAGGGTGCCCCGGTTGAGCGTCTCGACCTTGGCCCTGTGTGACCAGCCCTTTACCATCCTTGGCTTCGGTGACATTGTGGTCCCAGGCTTCTTGGTTGCCTATTGTCATCGCTTTGATGTGCAAATGCACACCGGCCAGGTCTACTTTATGGCCTGCACTGTGGCCTACGCTGTGGGTCTGCTGGTCACTTTTGCTGCCATGGTTCTCATGAAGATGGGCCAGCCCGCCCTTCTCTACCTGGTGTCCAGCACCCTGCTCACCAGCCTGGCTGTGGCCACTCGCCGCCAAGAGTTCACTCTCTTCTGGACTGGCCAGGGCAGAGCCAAGTCGCCCACCCAGCCCATGGCAGGGCTCCATGGTGCCCATTCAGTTGGCTCCAAACAGAAGCAGGAGAACACAACAGATGTCTACACAGCCAGCGAGTCTGAGGGGGCCACCAACCACTTAGCAGGAGACTTAGACAGCAACATCAGGAAGGACACTGCCAGATTCATCACCATAGCTGAGGATGAAGCCGCCAGCCTGGTTGGCTACAGTAACAGCTCTGAGGGCTGGAGTGATGCCATCCTGGCCCCCAGTGAGCCACCCTGGGACGCCCCCAGGACCTCGGAGGAGCCGATGCCACTGATGCCATCCCCCTCGGAGCCAGGCCATGAGGCTGACCTGCTCTGGACAAGGCTGCACAAAAGGAAGAGCTTGAAGGTAAAGAAGAGTGTGTTGACCCAGGCTCCCTTGTGAACCAGGCCCTGAGATGTGTGCCTCTAGAAGGACCAGAAGAATATTGCAAAACAAAGGCACACAAGGCAAAAAGAAATCGGAGCATTAAAAATATTCCAGATCAACCCAGCGGAGCCTCTTTGTTTATTAGGATGATAAAAAGGCAGCATCCATGGAATAAATTCATGCAGGGCCCAGAGGGTCCTTAGGATAGGCACCACCTCGAACCGTGCAGAGGGGGAAATGGAGGCTCAGAGAGGGCGTACGACTTGCACAAAGTTACTCAGCAAGGGCAAGATTTTCTCCCAGGGCTTGCCAGGCAGTGACTTCTCTCCCTGCCTCCCCAACCCCCCGCAGCTCCTCAGCCCGGCAGGCTGGCCCCCTCCCGTCCCTGCAGCCCCACCCCAGCGTCACTGCCCATCCCTTCCTCATGCTCAGGGCCAGCCGCACCATTGCTGTTCCTTGATCACGCCATGACCTCTACGCTGTTTCCTCTGGCTGGGATGACCTTCCCACTCCAGACAGACTCCTCAGCCCATCTCCCTGGCTCACTAAAACATTCCACCGCATCCTTCCAGCGTCAGCTCACATCCGCCCTTTCTGCTAAACATCGCTGCTCCGAGCGTCCTGGGCAGCAGCACCACACCCAGGTGTTTCTGCAGAGATCTGAGTGTGCGCCTGCTGTGTGCGTTACCCCATGATGGGCACCAGGGGAGGCTGCTGTCTAGCTGGGGGATGGGTGGGAAGTGGAAAACAGACAAGAAACAACCTGAGAATTGTCTTAAAGAGGAGGAGAGGAGGGTTGGAGCTGGAGTAGAAGAATTTAGGACAGGGTGGCTCTATTTCCCATGCTTCCCTCATCAAATCTGGGTAATAGTCAAATCTCAACCCGTCGGGGTCTCAGCAGTCTCATCTTCATAATGGGCCTTACAATACCATGTCCACCTGAAGACAGGGGCATGGACAAGATGACCTCTTGAGGACCCCACAGTTGTTTAGGCCATATGGTGTATCTATATGTTGCTGCAGCAGAGCAAACAAACTCTGGGTTGAGGGCAGGCTCCCTAGAGGAGGTCGTATTGAAGGTAAGGGAGTCACATCCTGAGGGGTAGTGAGTGGTACAGTAGTTAGGGGTCTAGAGCCAACTGCCCAGAGGGAATTCTTGCTCTACTACTGACCTGCACTGTGTCATTGTGCAAATGACTTAACCTCTTGGTGCCTCAGTTTTCTCATCTGTGAAATGGGATAATAATGACCATTGGGTTTTGATGAGTTTCTGTCAGGTGACTGACACCATGCCTACATGTAGGACGAGCTCTATGAATGTTAACTCTATATTGTTTCCCTTCACAAGCCTTTCAGAATCAAATCCAGCTCCTACAAGGCCTTCAAGTTCTGGCCCCGACTCCCTCTCGTCTTCCCTCCACGCCCGGCATTCCTGCCCCTACCATCACAAGGGAGTAGACAGCAGACCCCACCATACCTGTTGTCCCCCCTGGGCCCTCCCACGTGCTGGCTCCTCTGCCTGGAGCTTGGCCCTCCTCCCACCCTCAGAATTGGGCCTGGACAGCCCTCTCCTCCAATCCCAGCTCAAATGCCCCCTCCTCCGGGAGACCTTCCTTGATGATACTTTCTAAACCAGCCCCCAGCCTCAATCATATTACTGTACATGCTGTTTGCTAGTTTTCTTGTCTCCCCCAGTTGAGTATCAGCTACCTGATTGGCTGAGTAGTTTCAGGGTCCAGAACAAGGCCCAGTGTGTAGTAGATGCTCAATTTATATTTGTTGGAGAAATGAATGAATGAATGAAGAATTAATCCACCTTGAACAATAGAGAAAGAGGGGACACCATGAGGTAAGGTTCCCAAGCCTCCCTGCGTACCTGCAAGGCCTTGGTTAGAGGGAAGATGCAACTCTTAGGGGACTGGCTGGGCACTGGGCGCAGGGGTTAAGGGGCTTGTGGGGGTTCGGGTAACAGGCATCTTAAAGGAAACCCCACTTGCCAGTCCCCTCGGCAAACAGCCCCTGACAACCTGGGCTGGACAAGGGCAGTGTGAGGAACCAGGGCCAGGCCCCTGACCGAAGGTGTTGACAGCTTCTCCTGCTGGAGCCAGAGGCCATCTGGCCTGGACAGAGGGGCCTCCGCAGGCCCTGGCTCATCCCCAGCCCCGGCAGCCTCCCACTGCTGATTTGCGTCACCAGGCCTGCCAGGGGTGGGCTACACCCCTCCGCCAGGCCCAAGGGGGAGGGCTGGATGGAGCCGGGCCTCTAGGCACCCCCTCATCCCACTGGACTGGGGGACAAGGAACTCCTCTCTCCCAGGACTTGCAGCCACGGGTGGCTCTGAGGATGCTGGACTAGAGCTCCCTGCAGCAGGGTGGATGCCTGAGGCCAAGGAGAGGGTTCTGCGGCTGGGGATGGGTGCGGGGGGTGGGGCCGGCCCGGGCCACGTCTGTACAGCACAGAGTCCGACTCTGTCTTCACTGCTCTGCCCAACAGAGGCGAACACTCATAGGGCACCTTATCTACAAAATGGGGAGAATAATACGACCACCCCAGGGGGTTGGACCTGGTATTAAGCCACCCAGGAAAGAAGCTGGACTGGACTCAGATTCGTGCTGCTGCTCTGTGATGACCCAGGGTCCCCTGCACCTGCCCTGGTCCCCAGAGCCACACTCCTCTTAGTTTCGGACTCAGCCTCACTTTGCCAGTCCCCTTCCCAGGGACTGGGCCAAACCCAGGTGGCTGGACCAAGCTGCCACCTGTCAGAGATGCCCAGAACTGGCAGCCCGTACCTGAATGCAGAGGAACACAGGGTACTGCACATGTATGTGTACACCCATGTGCACATATGTAGACACATGCCCACATCTATACAGTACCCTCAGGCATATGTGAACATACACATCTTGACACCCTGAACACATGCATGTACACACTCATACCCAAGCATACACATACTGAATGAGTGCACGTACCTGTGCACACCCTACACACATGTGTGCACACATGTACACCCAGGCTGCGACCTTTGCTGCTCTTTTCTTTAGACCTTGCCCTTCCTCTCCAGGCCAGTCCTGGGCCTGTGGGAGTAGAGGGCCTGATGCCTGGATTTTCTACCCCAGAGGGCAAAGTAGCCCTTTTCTGGTGGGACAGACACTGAGATCTGCCGCTCAGATGCTTGGACCCCCACTTTGAGGAGGATGGCTGGCCGACAGCCTCCCCTAGGGGTCATCTTGGGCTCTTCAAGGAGATGGGGGACCTGGAGCGCCCGCTAATGATAAAGCAAGGCAGCAGTGCCGGGACCTGGCATCTCCCCTCAGCTCTGCCTCTTGCAGGGAGTCTTTGCTCCCAGCCCCTCTGGGTTGCCTCCCAGTCTGATGACCGCCCCCCCCACACCGCCCTCAGCTGCTCCCCCTTCTCCCTTTTCACACTCTGACCTCCACCTCAGGCTCAGCTTCCTGAAGAGCCTGGCCTGTGACAGGTGAAACCTCAGATGGGGCCAGGGTGGGAATAGACTCCCCCAGGCCATGCCCAGGGCTCCAGGGGGCTCCGCCCCAGCTCTGGGGCTGTGCTGTGCTCAGGCTGCCAGTAATTATTTTTGTGACCTTGTTGAATCTCAAAGACAACCCCGTGAGCAGAATAGTCGCAGGCTTGGTTTTTCTATGATTGTTGTTGGGGTTTCTTTGTTTTGTTTTGTGGAGGTTTTTTTTTTAGTTAATAAAGAGTTTGGTATTCTGGACTCCCTCGACAGTGAGAACTAGCAAGGGCCTGTGAGTTGCCCTAGCCCACAAATGAGGAAAGGAAAGCCCAGAGAGGGTCAGACCTTGCCCACTGTCACACAGCAATGAACAGCAGAACTGGGACTCCTCTGCCTCCCAGCCCAGCAGCGGGGTCAGCTCGCTCCCCCTCCCACACCCTGGTTTGCAAAACATGCCTCCCCGGGAAAACGCTGCATCTGCCCACTCCTTTGCCTGTGCTCCTCAGCAGCACAGCCCTCCATGCCTTGTTATCATTGTCTGTCAAATGAGCTGCAATGAGCTGCTACAACTTACCTGTGAGTTTGTGGTAAGGATTAAATGAGGTGAGGTGGTGTATAAGCAGCTCACATTTGCCAAGCACTAATAGATTAGGCATACGTGTCATCTCATGATATAATGCCCAGGTCTTGGCATCCTCCCAAAAGTTATCTTTCCCAAACCAGCTTTTAGTTCCTCAGGGTTGAGCTCCCAACGGTGGCTTCCTCTTCCCTTGGCCCTCCCCTCCCATTGTGGTATGTGGGTGGGTGCCTAGCAGCTAACCCTGGTCACCACCACTGCAGAGTCATGAAGAGGGTTCCCTCTGCAGAACTAAAACGGAAAGGTTTTGTGCCTGTTTTTTCCTGAAACCCTGAAGTTTGAGCGCTCCTGTGCTGCCACCTGCTGGTCAGTTAGATAACAGCAGGTGAGCTCACAGGAGTATTCCATTAGGGAACTTTGGAATTACAGTCAGGATCATGTCCAAAAGATATATACTGACCTACCCATCAGCACGGTTCTGAAGCCCATAATGGCCCCAAGGTCAATCCTTTAGAAGCTGGTTGTGAGGAGATGGAGGTGTCACAGAGAAGGGTCTGAGAGAATTTTGATATTTTATGAAATGAAGGAGCCCCAACACAGCATCACTGAATGTCCTTAATGTTCGAAGACGGCCCATGCCTTGGCCCTTACCCTACCCCATAGCATCAGGGCACCATGAATGAGTGTTCACAGATTCCCAGGTCTTGGCTCAATCCTAGGAGGGGGTCTCCCATACTGTCCCCCCACTCAAAGCCTTGTCCTTGTAGGTCCACAGGTGCCCCTCCCCGCACACAGCAGCCATTATTCATTGTTTGTGAACAAATCCTTGTCCATCACCGGTTTGCTTTCCAAATGCTTCACTTATTTGTAGGCATAACTCTTCCTTTGACCTTCCTTCTGCCTCTAGAGCTCTTCCAGGTATGTGCGTCTGAGAGGCCAGGTTTCACGGCTCACTCCTGAGCC